GAAATCTGGGTGAATTCTAAGCTCGCTGAAGATGGAGCGATAAATCGAAAAGATATGAAATGCTGGGATCAGCATGATATAGCTTCTATTGTGTTATTGAAACTTCTTCAGGTTTCGGAGTAGGATTGGTGGATATTGGCAATGGACATAACTTGGACAGGGATCTTATAGGTTCCAGAAACGGTTTTCAGTGAGGCGACGCGAACTAGTCCATCTTCTCCAGGATGCAACTCGATTATTCGAGCCATCTTTCATTCGTTTTGGGGGGAGCCGGTCATCCTTGAATACAACTAGATCGTCAATTTGCAGATTCGTTCGTTCTTGTCGCCATTTCGGACGTGCTTGTAGATGTGAAAGCCAATCGGCGCTTCATCGATGCCAAAATTGTCTCAGGAGCCGTTGACCGTCGACGAAGCGTGCGTTGATGGACTTGTCTGAAAGAGAAGGTTCCGGAGGTGCCAATAAAAGTCCTCCTATAAGGAAATGCCCGGGAGTAAGTGGGGACAAATCGTTTGGATCTGCTGATAAGGGGCAGAGTGGACGTGAGTTTAAACATGATTCGATTTGGGTGAACACCGTGGATAGTTCTTCATAGGTCATAGCAGTGAGTTTGAAGGAAGAGAATTGTCTGTTCCGATGAAATTGGTTCCTCCATCGCTGTATAGATGTTTGCACAAACCTCTACGTCCAATAAAGCGTTGAGCCCAAAGGAAGTGTTGAGTAGATAGTCCAGTGACCGCTTCTAGATGTATCGCCTTGGTTGCTAAACATATAAACACTGCGATATATGCCTTGTATGTGTGATGCCCACGGAATCTGGATGCTTTCAAGTAAAAGGCGCCCGTGTAGTCGACGCCAGTGGCTTCAAAGGCTCGACCAGGTGGGTTGACTCGATGTAGTGGCAGATCCCCCATTAACTGTGAGGCAGGTTTTGGGCGATGTTTGAAGCATTGGACACATTGTCGTAGAATTCTTTTTACTGCTTGTTTCCCATTGACTATCCAGAATGTGTGCCGAATGGTTGCTAAGGTGAGCTCGGTGCCTCCATGAAGAGTGTTTAGGTGCGCATTTTTGATTACGAGGTCAGTAAAATGAAGCATTTTGGGTATAATGATCGGATTTTTCTGTGCTTGGGACAGTTGTTGAGCGTTCTTCAGTCGTCCTTTGAGTCGCAGAATCCCAAAGTCGTCTAGAAACGGACAAAGAGCGCTGAGGGCACTGTGCCTGGATAGAGATTTTCGTGTCAGGACTCGGCTGATCTCTTGAGAAAAGGCTTCTTTCTGAACCATCCTTACGATTTTATGTAGAGCTTCTCGTAATTCTGGTACTCGAATCGCGCCCACATGACGAAGTTCTTGTGGGTGGCGTAAGTTATGCAGATACCTTTGGATGTAAGCCATAACAAATAACAATTTGTTATATGATGAGTAAGAGGTTATGATTGAGTCGCCAAGTGAACAAACATGTGCTGTGATGTTGGTTGGTTGTCTTCTTTCTTCGTGATGTTGGTCAGGGGGAGGAGAGTACGTGTTCTTCGGCCACCGATTCTCATCCTCCCGCAGCCAATCGGGACCGAACCACAAGATGTCATGCCTGGCTAGTTGGTGAGGAGTTGTAGTACTAAGTTCCAAAATCTTACCAATTTCCTTTAATCCAATATAAAACGATCGATGCATCAGTCCAGAAATTAACCGACATGGGAGTTCCGGTGGATGAAAACTGCGTTAGTACCCATTTAGCCAGTTGTGCAGCCAACACTGCACCAGAGAGTTCGATTCGAGGGATCGTTAGCGGCTTCGTGGGCGTGACTCGACTCCGTGCGGTCAATAGGGCTGTGCTCACTCTCCCGGATGGATATTGTATTCGGAGATAAACACAGGCTGCGTAAGCTTGCGAGGAGCCATCACAAAAGACCTGTAGTTGGTGTGACTGTGGCTCACCGGTCTGGTGACCAAGCCACCGAGGTATGTTCAACTGTTCAATGTTTGGTAAATGATGTCGGAATTCTTCACATCGGGCTTGAAGTATTGGGGGTAACGGGCCGTCCCAATCGAGAGCGGGTTCGGTCTTGTCGGATGTCTCGGGTCGCCACTGCCAGATGTCCTTTAGAATACTCTTTGCAGTAGTAGTGACAGGAACTATAAAGCCTAAGGGATCATAGAGGCGAGCGACTACTGAAAGAAAGGAACGTTTAGTAAAGGAGGCAGGAAGGTCAAATCGAACCTTGAAGCTATATAAATCCTCTTGTGGGCTCTAATAAAGTCCCAGAGTTTTAATAGTCTCCTGGAAATTTACTTCTACATGTCTCTTTTGAGCCATGTGCTGGTCAGGAATTCCGGATAAGATCTGTGGATGATTTGATGCCCATTTCCTGAGTTCCATTCCAGCCGATTTTAATGTAGCAATGAGTTGATTTCGTATTTCCAATGCTCCATGAACAGTATTGTGACCAGTTTGGACGTCGTCGACATATACTTTATTTAATAAGACTGGAGTTGCTAATGGGTAGCGATGTTGTTCGTCGTGAGCGAGTTGACGGATTACGCGTATGGCTGTATACGGTGCTGATGCCGTCCCAAAGGCGACAGTATTTAGGCTGTACTCGGCTATTTCGTTTTGATCATTCCTCCATAAGATGCGTTGAAATTGAGCATCATCCTGGTGCATGTCGATACAGCGATACATTCGTTGGATATCTGACAAGGAAGACAAGGAAAAGCTCTGCAAAGATTACAGAAATCTGGGTGAATTCTAAGCTCGCTGAAGATGGAGCGATAAATCGAAAAGATATGAAATGCTGGGATCAGCATGATATAGCTTCTATTGTGTTATTGAAACTTCTTCAGGTTTCGGAGTAGGATTGGTGGATATTGGCAATGGACATAACTTGGACAGGGATCTTATAGGTTCCAGAAACGGTTTTCAGTGAGGCGACGCGAACTAGTCCATCTTCTCCAGGATGCAACTCGATTATTCGAGCCATCTTTCATTCGTTTTGGGGGGAGCCGGTCATCCTTGAATACAACTAGATCGTCAATTTGCAGATTCGTTCGTTCTTGTCGCCATTTCGGACGTGCTTGTAGATGTGAAAGCCAATCGGCGCTTCATCGATGCCAAAATTGTCTCAGGAGCCGTTGACCGTCGACGAAGCGTGCGTTGATGGACTTGTCTGAAAGAGAAGGTTCCGGAGGTGCCAATAAAAGTCCTCCTATAAGGAAATGCCCGGGAGTAAGTGGGGACAAATCGTTTGGATCTGCTGATAAGGGGCAGAGTGGACGTGAGTTTAAACATGATTCGATTTGGGTGAACACCGTGGATAGTTCTTCATAGGTCATAGCAGTGAGTTTGAAGGAAGAGAATTGTCTGTTCCGATGAAATTGGTTCCTCCATCGCTGTATAGATGTTTGCACAAACCTCTACGTCCAATAAAGCGTTGAGCCCAAAGGAAGTTTTGAGTAGATAGTCCAGTGACCGCTTCTAGATGTATCGCCTTGGTTGCTAAACATATAAACACTGCGATATATGCCTTGTATGTGTGATGCCCACGGAATCTGGATGCTTTCAAGTAAAAGGCGCCCGTGTAGTCGACGCCAGTGGCTTCAAAGGCTCGACCAGGTGGGTTGACTCGATGTAGTGGCAGATCCCCCATTAACTGTGAGGCAGGTTTTGGGCGATGTTTGAAGCTGTGATGTTGGTTGGTTGTCTTCTCTCTTCGTGATGTTGGTCAGGGGGAGGAGAGTACGTGTTCTTCGGCCACCGATTCTCATCCTCCCGCAGCCAATCGGGACCGAACCACAAGATGTCATGCCTGGCTAGTTGGTGAGGAGTTGTAGTACTAAGTTCCAAAATCTTACCAATTTCCTTTAATCCAATATAAAACGATCGATGCATCAGTCCAGAAATTAACCGACATGGGAATTCCGGTGGATGAAAACTGCGTTAGTACCCATTTAGCCAGTTGTGCAGCCAACACTGCACCAGAGAGTTCGATTCGAGGGATCGTTAGCGGCTTCGTGGGCGTGACTCGACTCCGTGCGGTCAATAGGGCTGTGCTCACTCTCCCGGATGGATATTGTATTCGGAGATAAACACAGGCTGCGTAAGCTTGCGAGGAGCCATCACAAAAGACCTGTAGTTGGTGTGACTGTGGCTCACCGGTCTGGTGACCAAGCCACCGAGGTATGTTCAACTGTTCAATGTTTGGTAAATGATGTCGGAATTCTTCACATCGGGCTTGAAGTATTGGGGGTAACGGGCCGTCCCAATCGAGAGCGGGTTCGGTCTTGTCGGATGTCTCGGGTCGCCACTGCCAGATGTCCTTTAGAATACTCTTTGCAGTAGTAGTGACAGGAACTATAAAGCCTAAGGGATCATAGAGGCGAGCGACTACTGAAAGAAAGGAACGTTTAGTAAAGGAGGCAGGAAGGTCAAATCGAACCTTGAAGCTATATAAATCCTCTTGTGGGCTCTAATAAAGTCCCAGAGTTTTAATAGTCTCCTGGAAATTTACTTCTACATGTCTCTTTTGAGCCATGTGCTGGTCAGGAATTCCGGATAAGATCTGTGGATGATTTGATGCCCATTTCCTGAGTTCCATTCCAGCCGATTTTAATGTAGCAATGAGTTGATTTCGTATTTCCAATGCTCCATGAACAGTATTGTGACCAGTTTGGACGTCGTCGACATATACTTTATTTAATAAGACTGGAGTTGCTAATGGGTAGCGATGTTGTTCGTCGTGAGCGAGTTGACGGATTACGCGTATGGCTGTATACGGTGCTGATGCCGTCCCAAAGGTGACAGTATTTAGGCTGTACTCGGCTATTTCGTTTTGATCATTCCTCCATAAGATGCGTCGAAATTGAGCATCATCCTGGTGCATGTCGATACAGCGATACATTCGTTGGATATCTGCTGCAAACACGTAACGATGTAGCCTCCATTTCATGATGACTCCTCCTAAATCGTTTTGTAGCGGTGGGCCGATGCAAAATATGTCGTTAAGGGATTTTCCGTTTGAAGTGGTACACCACCCGAACTTTGGTCGTTGTACTGTCCGCCTTAACCACGGCATGGTGTGGGAGAGTACATGATGACAAATACTGTTGACCTCTTGGAGTGATCATTTGATGCCAAGATTCTGCGGTAGTGAATTTGGAGAGTTGCTTAAGATCAAAATATTCTTTAATGGTGGAGTGATATTGTTGTTTAAGTGAGTCGTTTCTGTTTAGCCGACGTTCTAAGAGATGGAATCTATTGAGTGCTATTTGGTGAGACTTTCCGATGACTTGTTCCTTATCAAATTCAGGTTTTAACGGAAGTCGGACCAGGTATTTTCCATTGGGTTGTCGGGTGCAGGTACGCTGGAAATGATCCTCACACCATTGTTCTTCTGCTGTTAAGGTCCTCTCAGAGCTGATTTGATCGAGATCAAAGAAACCCTTTACCAGTGCATCCAGATTAGTCTGATGGCAACGAATGGTTACCACATTTACCCTTGTTTCATTGCTATGGCCAAACACGATCCAACCCAATTGAGTGAGTTGAGCAATAGGTTGATTTGAAGCTCCTTTCCGTAAATCTGGCAGCAACAAATATGGTATTAGATCTACTCCAAATAACGAGTCGATGTGGCCTGGCCTGGAAAAGGTGGGATCGGCCAAGTGTAATCCCTGAAGATGCTGACAAGTGTCCACGTTGACATTGCTTCTTGGTAAATGAGAGGTTATCGAGTTGAGGACATACGCTGGTCGCACCAAATGGTGAAATTGACGGTCCGTACATGAGCTTATGGAGAACTCTGTACTAAATCTACAGATGTTCTTTGAGTTATCACCGATCCCGGTAATCTGTGCTGTGACTTGGTGACATGGAAGTCCTAGTAACTGAGCGACACGTTCTGTGATTAACGTGCCCTCAGAGCCATGATCGATCAAGGCTCGAATAACGGCAGTTTGTCCGGTGCTGTTATTATGTAGTTGTACTAGAGCTGTGGCCAGCAAAATGGATCGAGTTGACTGCGCGGCAGTGGCCATCAGCACTGTAGTGGAATCAGAAGGATGAGCAGGATCGGAGCTCTCGCTTGCTGCGTTCTGAATAATCGGTGATGAGCTGGTATACGTCGTGGGGAAGTGAAGCAGGGTATGGTGACGCTGTCCGCATTGTAAACAATTCTTGTTACTGCCACACTGCGACAAGGGATGATTGATGCTAACGAAATTTAGTTTACGGGCAAAGCAATCCTTGGACAAAAAATCAGGACATCGCCGCAAAATGTGTTGCCCCTTACAGTTTACGCAAGAGATGGGACCGCTGGTTCCAGTCGTGGTGTGGAACGCCCTTGTAGAAGCCGGAACCCTTTTGCTTGGGATTTTGGCGTGGATAATTTGTCGATTTGTTGATCGTAGAGTTGTGCGTGGGCTGTGAAAATTTCCGGTTCTCAATGATGTTCATGCTGACGAGGCGATTGCTGAGGAAGGTTTCCAAGTCGAGGAAACTCGGAATGTCGCTGGAGTTTCCCAAGTAATGCTCCCAGGCTTGTACAGTTGTCGTAGGTAGTCTAGCGATCAAATGATGGACTATCCATTGCGTGCTAGAATGGATATTCGTTTTGAGACGATTGAACTCGTTGATGCATACGTTAGTTACGTTCAGCATATGTTTGATCTCTGATGAGCTTTCCCTTGAGATAAAGGGTTAGTCGTAGAGAGCGTTTATGTGGTGCATGAATTGTAAACGGGGGTTATCATAGCGTTTGATGATGAGATCCCATGCGATAGTGTAGGCGCCATCCGTTAGTTCCATTTGGTGTACATCTTGGTCCTGCTCTTTAGGTAGTGCTTGCTTACGGAAATGGAATCGCTGAATATTTGTCAACGCCTGGTTCTGGTGAATGAGTTGCATAAACAGATCATGGAAAGCTGGCCAATCTGTATACTTTCCGGAAAAGTTAGGTACTGGCAACTTTGGAAGTTGGACTGCCGCACCAGGGCCGAGCATTTTAGGAACAGGCGTCGCTTGTTGCTCGGCGCACGCTGGTAGCTGACTGGGGAAAAGTGTTTCGGACTCCGTAGATATTAAACAGAAAGCTGTGATAAATTCCTCTTCGAACTGGTCCGCTAAATTATCGACGAAGTAAGGGTGTGTGGGGTAGCCAGCGCTTACAAACTCTTGATGATTCTTGTTGAATTGCTGGCTTATTAAGTTGAGTTTGGAAAGGCGCAGTTGGAAATAGGGCTTGGTTTTCCGAGACGTGCTGTCCTTCTTGAAGTTTACTTGGAGTTGGTTGAGCTGATTGTGAAGATCTTTCTGGAGCGCAAACAAGCTGTCCGCGTTGCCACCCTTTGCCATTGTTTCAGACTCTGCACTGGAAGCGCTCGCTGGCTTGGGCTTGCTCATTTTGCGTATGCACTCACACTTACGTACGTATCTTCCAAAGTGAGAGAGCGACAATGGGCAAGCGTTTTCGCGACACGTGCGATGCAAAGTTTGATTCCGTTATTTTGGCTTCCTCTTTGTCAAAGAGAATAAAGGAGTTGAAAAGGAGAATAATGGTTCCGTGTTGAGATTAGGTTTCCATTAACAATTTTGATGGAAATGTTGGAGATGACCATGGATTGTGGAGTCGTGTGTGGATTGTTCTCCTCATGGGCCACCAAAAATGTTGTGACAAATGCCGTTCATGGGCGCAATGTCATAGTTGAGCACAGTTCTGCTCGGGGGTTTTGAATCCAAACGACTAGACACAGTTATGGATTGAACTTCATTTTCATTCCTTAATTTATGTTGATTAGTTTTACAATTATATTTAATGGGTCAGCTTTATCCCGCGTGGTTTTTCTCTGACCTTCTCCACTATTTCGATCGCCTTGCTTGCTCTATGATTCTTCTTATATTAATAACTTTACTAGGGAGAGACCAGACAAGGAAAAGCTCTGCAAAGATTACAGAAATCTGGGTGAATTCTAAGCTCGCTGAAGATGGAGCGATAAATCGAAAAGATATGAAATGCTGGGATCAGCATGATATAGCTTCTATTGTGTTATTGAAACTTCTTCAGGTTTCGGAGTAGGATTGGTGGATATTGGCAATGGACATAACTTGGACAGGGATCTTATAGGTTCCAGAAACGGTTTTCAGTGAGGCGACGCGAACTAGTCCATCTTCTCCAGGATGCAACTCGATTATTCGAGCCATCTTTCATTCGTTTTGGGGGGAGCCGGTCATCCTTGAATACAACTAGATCGTCAATTTGCAGATTCGTTCGTTCTTGTCGCCATTTCGGACGTGCTTGTAGATGTGAAAGCCAATCGGCGCTTCATCGATGCCAAAATTGTCTCAGGAGCCGTTGACCGTCGACGAAGCGTGCGTTGATGGACTTGTCTGAAAGAGAAGGTTCCGGAGGTGCCAATAAAAGTCCTCCTATAAGGAAATGCCCGGGAGTAAGTGGGGACAAATCGTTTGGATCTGCTGATAAGGGGCAGAGTGGACGTGAGTTTAAACATGATTCGATTTGGGTGAACACCGTGGATAGTTCTTCATAGGTCATAGCAGTGAGTTTGAAGGAAGAGAATTGTCTGTTCCGATGAAATTGGTTCCTCCATCGCTGTATAGATGTTTGCACAAACCTCTACGTCCAATAAAGCGTTGAGCCCAAAGGAAGTGTTGAGTAGATAGTCCAGTGACCGCTTCTAGATGTATCGCCTTGGTTGCTAAACATATAAACACTGCGATATATGCCTTGTATGTGTGATGCCCACGGAATCTGGATGCTTTCAAGTAAAAGGCGCCCGTGTAGTCGACGCCAGTGGCTTCAAAGGCTCGACCAGGTGGGTTGACTCGATGTAGTGGCAGATCCCCCATTAACTGTGAGGCAGGTTTTGGGCGATGTTTGAAGCATTGGACACATTGTCGTAGAATTCTTTTTACTGCTTGTTTCCCATTGACTATCCAGAATGTGTGCCGAATGGTTGCTAAGGTGAGCTCGGTGCCTCCATGAAGAGTGTTTAGGTGCGCATTTTTGATTACGAGGTCAGTAAAATGAAGCATTTTGGGTATAATGATCGGATTTTTCTGTGCTTGGGACAGTTGTTGAGCGTTCTTCAGTCGTCCTTTGAGTCGCAGAATCCCAAAGTCGTCTAGAAACGGACAAAGAGCGCTGAGGGCACTGTGCCTGGATAGAGATTTTCGTGTCAGGACTCGGCTGATCTCTTGAGAAAAGGCTTCTTTCTGAACCATCCTTACAATTTTATGTAGAGCTTCTCGTAATTCTGGTACTCGAATCGCGCCCACATGACGAAGTTCTTGTGGGTGGCGTAAGTTATGCAGATACCTTTGGATGTAAGCCATAACAAATAACAATTTGTTATATGATGAGTAAGAGGTTATGATTGAGTCGCCAAGTGAACAAACATGTGCTGTGATGTTGGTTGGTTGTCTTCTTTCTTCGTGATGTTGGTCAGGGGGAGGAGAGTACGTGTTCTTCGGCCACCGATTCTCATCCTCCCGCAGCCAATCGGGACCGAACCACAAGATGTCATGCCTGGCTAGTTGGTGAGGAGTTGTAGTACTAAGTTGCAAAATCTTACCAATTTCCTTTAATCCAATATAAAACGATCGATGCATCAGTCCAGAAATTAACCGACATGGGAATTCCGGTGGATGAAAACTGCGTTAGTACCCATTTAGCCAGTTGTGCAGCCAACACTGCACCAGAGAGTTCGATTCGAGGGATCGTTAGCGGCTTCGTGGGCGTGACTCGACTCCGTGCGGTCAATAGGGCTGTGCTCACTCTCCCGGATGGATATTGTATTCGGAGATAAACACAGGCTGCGTAAGCTTGCGAGGAGCCATCACAAAAGACGTGTAGTTGGTGTGACTGTGGCTCACCTGTCTGGTGACCAAGCCACCGAGGTATGTTCAACTGTTCAATGTTTGGTAAATGATGTCGGAATTCTTCACATCGGGCTTGAAGTATTGGGGGTAACGGGCCGTCCCAATCGAGAGCGGGTTCGGTCTTGTCGGATGTCTCGGGTCGCCACTGCCAGATGTCCTTTAGAATACTCTTTGCAGTAGTAGTGACAGGAACTATAAAGCCTAAGGGATCATAGAGGCGAGCGACTACTGAAAGAAAGGAATATTCTTTAATGGTGTAGTGATATTGTTGTTTGAGTGAGTCGTTTCTGTTTAGCCGACGTTCTAAGAGATGGAATCTATTGAGTGCTATTTGGTGAGACTTTCCGATGACTTGTTCCTTATCAAATTCAGGTTTTAACGGAAGTCGGACCAGGTATTTTCCATTGGGTTGTCGGGTGCAGGTACGCTGGAAATGATCCTCACACCATTGTTCTTCTGCTGTTAAGGTCCTCTCAGAGCTGATTTGATCGAGATCAAAGAAACCCTTTACCAGTGCATCCAGATTAGTCTGATGGCAACGAATGGTTACCACATTTACCCTTGTTTCATTGCTATGGCCAAACACGATCCAACCCAATTGAGTGAGTTGAGCAATAGGTTGATTTGAAGCTCCTTTCCGTAAATCTGGCAGCAACAAATATGGTATTAGATCTACTCCAAATAACGAGTCGATGTGGCCTGGCCTGGAAAAGGTGGGATCGGCCAAGTGTAATCCCTGAAGATGCTGACAAGTGTCCACGTTGACATTGCTTCTTGGTAAATGAGAGGTTATCGAGTTGAGGACATACGCTGGTCGCACCAAATGGTGAAATTGAGGGTCCGTACATGAGCTTATGGAGAACTCTGTACTAAATCTACAGATGTTCTTTGAGTTATCACCGATCCCGGTAATCTGTGCTGTGACTTGGTGACATGGAAGTCCTAGTAACTGAGCGACACGTTCTGTGATTAACGTGCCCTCAGAGCCATGATCGATCAAGGCTCGAATAACGGCAGTTTGTCCGGTGCTGTTATTATGTAGTTGTACTAGAGCTGTGGCCAGCAAAATGGATCGAGTTGACTGCGCGGCAGTGGCCATCAGCACTGTAGTGGAATCAGAAGGATGAGCAGGATCGGAGCTCTCGCTTGCTGCGTTCTGAATAATCGGTGATGAGCTGGTATACGTCGTGGGGAAGTGAAGCAGGGTATGGTGACGCTGTCCGCATTGTAAACAATTCTTGTTACTGCCACACTGCGACAAGGGATGATGGATGCTGAGGCAATTTAGACCTTTGTATGGTTTAGCCTTTGTATGGTCAATGATTCGCTTGCGGGCAAAGCAATCCTTGGACAAAAAATCAGGACATCGCCGCAAAATGTGTTGCCCCTTACAGTTTACGCCAGAGATGGGACCGCTGGTTCCAGTCGTGGTGTGGAACGCCCTTGTAGAAGCCGGAACCCTTTTGCTTGGGATTTTGGCGTGGATAATTTGTCGATTTGTTGATCGTAGAGTTGTGCGTGGGCTGTGAAAATTTCCGGTTCTCAATGATGTTCATGCTGACGAGGCGATTGCTGAGGAAGGTTTCCAAGTCGAGGAAACTCGGAATGTCGCTGGAGTTTCCCAAGTAATGCTCCCAGGCTTGTACAGTTGTCGTAGGTAGTCTAGCGATCAAATGATGGACTATCCATTGCGTGCTAGAATGGATATTCGTTTTGAGACGATTGAACTCGTTGATGCATACGTTAGTTACGTTCAGCATATGTTTGATCTCTGATGAGCTTTCCCTTGAGATAAAGGGTTAGTCGTAGAGAGCGTTTATGTGGTGCATGAATTGTAAACGGGGGTTATCATAGCGTTTGATGATGAGATCCCATGCGATAGTGTAGGCGCCATCCGTTAGTTCCATTTGGTGTACATCTTGGTCCTGCTCTTTAGGTAGTGCTTGCTTACGGAAATGGAATCGCTGAATATTTGTCAACGCCTGGTTCTGGTGAATGAGTTGCATAAACAGATCATGGAAAGCTGGCCAATCTGTATACTTTCCGGAAAAGTTAGGTACTGGCAACTTTGGAAGTTGGACTGCCGCACCAGGGCCGAGCATTTTAGGAACAGGCGTCGCTTGTTGCTCGGCGCACGCTGGTAGCTGACTGGGGAAAAGTGTTTCGGACTCCGTAGATATTAAACAGAAAGCTGTGATAAATTCCTCTTCGAACTGGTCCGCTAAATTATCGACGAAGTAAGGGTGTGTGGGGTAGCCAGCGCTTACAAACTCTTGATGATTCTTGTTGAATTGCTGGCTTATTAAGTTGAGTTTGGAAAGGCGCAGTTGGAAATAGGGCTTGGTTTTCCGAGACGTGCTGTCCTTCTTGAAGTTTACTTGGAGTTGGTTGAGCTGATTGTGAAGATCTTTCTGGAGCGCAAACAAGCTGTCCGCGTTGCCACCCTTTGCCATTGTTTCAGACTCTGCACTGGAAGCGCTCGCTGGCTTGGGCTTGCTCATTTTGCGTATGCACTCACACTTACGTACGTATCTTCCAAAGTGAGAGAGCGACAATGGGCAAGCGTTTTCGCGACACGTGCGATGCAAAGTTTGATTCCGTTATTTTGGCTTCCTCTTTGTCAAAGAGAATAAAGGAGTTGAAAAGGAGAATAATGGTTCCGTGTTGAGATTAGGTTTCCATTAACAATTTTGATGGAAATGTTGGAGATGACCATGGATTGTGGAGTCGTGTGTGGATTGTTCTCCTCATGGGCCACCAAAAATGTTGTGACAAATGCCGTTCATGGGCGCAATGTCATAGTTGAGCACAGTTCTGCTCGGGGGTTTTGAATCCAAACGACTAGACACAGTTATGGATTGAACTTCATTTTCATTCCTTAATTTATGTTGATTAGTTTTACAATTATATTTAATGGGTCAGCTTTATCCCGCGTGGTTTTTCTCTGACCTTCTCCACTATTTCGATCGCCTTGCTTGCTCTATGATTCTTCTTATATTAATAACTTTACTAGGGGAGAGACCAGACAAGGAAAAGCTCTGCAAAGATTACAGAAATCTGGGTGAATTCTAAGCTCGCTGAAGATGGAGCGATAAATCGAAAAGATATGAAATGCTGGGATCAGCATGATATAGCTTCTATTGTGTTATTGAAACTTCTTCAGGTTTCGGAGTAGGATTGGTGGATATTGGCAATGGACATAACTTGGACAGGGATCTTATAGGTTCCAGAAACGGTTTTCAGTGAGGCGACGCGAACTAGTCCATCTTCTCCAGGATGTAACTCGATTATTCGAGCCATCTTTCATTCGTTTTGGGGGGAGCCGGTCATCCTTGAATACAACTAGATCGTCAATTTGCAGATTCGTTCGTTCTTGTCGCCATTTCGGACGTGCTTGTAGATGTGAAAGCCAATCGGCGCTTCATCGATGCCAAAATTGTCTCAGGAGCCGTTGACCGTCGACGAAGCGTGCGTTGATGGACTTGTCTGAAAGAGAAGGTTCCGGAGGTGCCAATAAAAGTCCTCCTATAAGGAAATGCCCGGGAGTAAGTGGGGACAAATCGTTTGGATCTGCTGATAAGGGGCAGAGTGGACGTGAGTTTAAACATGATTCGATTTGGGTGAACACCGTGGATAGTTCTTCATAGGTCATAGCAGTGAGTTTGAAGGAAGAGAATTGTCTGTTCCGATGAAATTGGTTCCTCCATCGCTGTATAGATGTTTGCACAAACCTCTACGTCCAATAAAGCGTTGAGCCCAAAGGAAGTGTTGAGTAGATAGTCCAGTGACCGCTTCTAGATGTATCGCCTTGGTTGCTAAACATATAAACACTGCGATATATGCCTTGTATGTGTGATGCCCACGGAATCTGGATGCTTTCAAGTAAAAGGCGCCCGTGTAGTCGACGCCAGTGGCTTCAAAGGCTCGACCAGGTGGGTTGACTCGATGTAGTGGCAGATCCCCCATTAACTGTGAGGCAGGTTTTGGGCGATGTTTGAAGCATTGGACACATTGTCGTAGAATTCTTTTTACTGCTTGTTTCCCATTGACTATCCAGAATGTGTGCCGAATGGTTGCTAAGGTGAGCTCGGTGCCTCCATGAAGAGTGTTTAGGTGCGCATTTTTGATTACGAGGTCAGTAAAATGAAGCATTTTGGGTATAATGATCGGATTTTTCTGTGCTTGGGACAGTTGTTGAGCGTTCTTCAGTCGTCCTTTGAGTCGCAGAATCCCAAAGTCGTCTAGAAACGGACAAAGAGCGCTGAGGGCACTGTGCCTGGATAGAGATTTTCGTGTCAGGACTCGGCTGATCTCTTGAGAAAAGGCTTCTTTCTGAACCATCCTTACAATTTTATGTAGAGCTTCTCGTAATTCTGGTACTCGAATCGCGCCCACATGACGAAGTTCTTGTGGGTGGCGTAAGTTATGCAGATACCTTTGGATGTAAGCCATAACAAATAACAATTTGTTATATGATGAGTAAGAGGTTATGATTGAGTCGCCAAGTGAACAAACATGTGCTGTGATGTTGGTTGGTTGTCTTCTTTCTTCGTGATGTTGGTCAGGGGGAGGAGAGTACGTGTTCTTCGGCCACCGATTCTCATCCTCCCGCAGCCAATCGGGACCGAACCACAAGATGTCATGCCTGGCTAGTTGGTGAGGAGTTGTAGTACTAAGTTGCAAAATCTTACCAATTTCCTTTAATCCAATATAAAACGATCGATGCATCAGTCCAGAAATTAACTGACATGGGAGTTCCAGTGAGTGAAAACTGCGTTAGTACCCATTTAGCCAGTTGTGCAGCCAACACTGCACCAGAGATTTCGATTCGAGGTATCGTTAGCGGCTTTGTGGGCGTGACTCGACTCCATGCGGTCAATAGGGCCGTGCTCACTCTCTCGGATGGATATTGTATTCGGAGATAAACACAGGCTGCGTAAGCTTGCGAGGAGCCGTCACAAAAGACGTGTAGTTGGTGTGACTGTGGCTCACCGGTCTGGTGACCAAGCCACCGAGGTATTTTCAACTGTTCAATGTTTGGTAAATGATGTCGGAATTCTTCACATCGGGCTTGAAGTATTGGGGGTAACGGGCCGTCCCAATCGAGAGCGGGTTCGGTCTTGTCGGATGTCTCGGGTCGCCACTGCCAGATGTCCTTTAGAATACTCTTTGCAGTAGTAGTGACAGGAACTATAAAGCCTAAGGGATCATAGAGGCGAGCGACTACTGAAAGAAAGGAATATTCTTTAATGGTGTAGTGATATTGTTGTTTGAGTGAGTCGTTTCTGTTTAGCCGACGTTCTAAGAGATGGAATCTATTGAGTGCTATTTGGTGAGACTTTCCGATGACTTGTCCTTATCAAATTCAGGTTTTAACGGAAGTCGGACCAGGTATTTTCCATTGGGTTGTCGGGTGCAGGTACGCTGGAAATGATCCTCACACCATTGTTCTTCTGCTGTTAAGGTCCTCTCAGAGCTGATTTGATCGAGATCAAAGAAACCCTTTACCAGTGCATCCAGATTAGTCTGATGGCAACGAATGGTTACCACATTTACCCTTGTTTCATTGCTATGGCCAAACACGATCCAACCCAATTGAGTGAGTTGAGCAATAGGTTGATTTGAAGCTCCTTTCCGTAAATCTGGCAGCAACAAATATGGTATTAGATCTACTCCAAATAACGAGTCGATGTGGCCTGGCCTGGAAAAGGTGGGATCGGCCAAGTGTAATCCCTGAAGATGCTGACAAGTGTCCACGTTGACATTGCTTCTTGGTAAATGAGAGGTTATCGAGTTGAGGACATACGCTGGTCGCACCAAATGGTGAAATTGAGGGTCCGTACATGAGCTTATGGAGAACTCTGTACTAAATCTACAGATGTTCTTTGAGTTATCACCGATCCCGGTAATCTGTGCTGTGACTCGGTGACATGGAAGTCCCAGTAACTGAGCGACACGTTCTGTGATTAACGTGCCCTCAGAGCCATGATCGATCAAGGCTCGAATAACGGCAGTTTGTCCGGTGCTGTTATTATGTAGTTGTACTAGAGCTGTGGCCAGCAAAATGGATCGAGTTGACTGCGCGGCAGTGGCCATCAGCACTGTAGTGGAATCAGAAGGATGAGCAGGATCGGAGCTCTCGCTTGCTGCGTTCTGAATAATCGGTGATGAGCTGGTATACGTCGTGGGGAAGTGAAGCAGGGTATGGTGACGCTGTCCGCATTGTAAACAATTCTTGTTACTGCCACACTGCGACAAGGGATGATGGATGCTGAGGCAATTTAGACATGCCTTTGTATGGTCAATGATTCGCTTGGGGGCAAAGCAATCCTTGGACAAAAAATCAGGACATCGCCGCAAAATGTGTTGCCCCTTACAGTTTACGCCAGAGATGGGACCGCTGGTTCCAGTCGTGGTGTGGAACGCCCTTGTAGAAGCCGGAACCCTTTTGCTTGGGATTTTGGCGTGGATAATTTGTCGATTTGTTGATCGTAGAGTTGTGCGTGGGCTGTGAAAATTTCCGGTTCTCAATGATGTTCATGCTGACGAGGCGATTGCTGAGGAAGGTTTCCAAGTCGAGGAAACTCGGAATGTCGCTGGAGTTTCCCAAGTAATGCTCCCAGGCTTGTACAGTTGTCGTAGGTAGTCTAGCGATCAAATGATGGACTATCCATTGCGTGCTAGAATGGATATTCGTTTTGAGACGATTGAACTCGTTGATGCATACGTTAGTTACGTTCAGCATATGTTTGATCTCTGATGAGCTTTCCCTTGAGATAAAGGGTAAGTCGTAGAGAGCGTTTATGTGGTGCATGAATTGTAAACGGGGGTTATCATAGCGTTTGATGATGAGATCCCATGCGATAGTGTAGGCGCCATCCGTTAGTTCCATTTGGTGTACATCTTGGTCCTGCTCTTTAGGTAGTGCTTGCTTACGGAAATGGAATCGCTGAATATTTGTCAACGCCTGGTTCTGGTGAATGAGTTGCATAAACAGATCATGGAAAGCTGGCCAATCTGTATACTTTCCGGAAAAGTTAGGTACTGGCAACTTTGGAAGTTGGACTGCCGCACCAGGGCCGAGCATTTTAGGAACAGGCGTCGCTTGTTGCTCGGCGCACGCTGGTAGCTGACTGGGGAAAAGTGTTTCGGACTCCGTAGATATTAAACAGAAAGCTGTGATAAATTCCTCTTCGAACTGGTCCGCTAAATTATCGACGAAGTAAGGGTGTGTGGGGTAGCCAGCGCTTACAAACTCTTGATGATTCTTGTTGAATTGCTGGCTTATTAAGTTGAGTTTGGAAAGGCGCAGTTGGAAATAGGGCTTGGTTTTCCGAGACGTGCTGTCCTTCTTGAAGTTTACTTGGAGTTGGTTGAGCTGATTGTGAAGATCTTTCTGGAGCGCAAACAAGCTGTCCGCGTTGCCACCCTTTGCCATTTTTTCAGACTCTGCACTGGAAGTGCTCGCTGGCTTGGGCTTGCTCATTTTGCGTATGCACTCACACTTACGTACGTATCTTCCAAAGTGAGAGAGCGACAATGGGCAAGCGTTTGCGCGACACGTCAAAGAGAATAAAGAAGTTGAAAAGGAGAATAATGGATCCGTGTTGAGATTAGGTTTCCATTAACGATTTTGATGGAAATGTTGGAGATGACCATGGATTGTGGAGTCGTGTGTGGATTGTTCCCTCATGGGCCACCAAAAATGTTGTGACAAATGCCGTTCATGGGCGTAATGTCATAGTTGAGCACAGTTCTGCTCGGGGGTTTTGAATCCAAACGACTAGACACAGTTATGGATTGAACTTCATTTTCATTCCTTAATTTATGTTGATTAGTTTTACAATTATATTTAATGGGTCAGCTTTATCCCGCGTGGTTTTTCTCGGACCTTCTCCACTATTTCGATCGCCTTGCTTGCTCTATGATTCTTCTTATATTAATAACTTTACTAGGGGAGAGACCAGACAAGGAAAAGCTCTGCAAAGATTACAGAAATCTGGGTGGATTCTAAGCTCGCTGAAGATGGAGCGATAAATCGAAAAGATAAAGAACGCCCGTACAACATCATAAGAGCCGGAGTTCCTCAAGGCAGCGTGCTTGGACCAACACTCTACCTTATCTACACTGCGGACATCCCAACGAGCAGGAATCTAACCACATCCACTTTTGCAGATGACACAGCGATCCTAAGCCGCGCGAGATGCCCCAAGCAAGCAACGGCACAACTTGCTATACACCTGGTGGCAGTGGAGAAATGGCTATCTGACTGGCGAATCAAAGTTAACGAACAAAAATGCAAACACGTAACGTTCACTCTTAACAGGCAAGACTGCCCTCCACTTATTCTTAACAACACAGTGGTTTCGATAGCAAATGTAGGAACATATCTTGGCGTACACCTCGATAGACGGCTTACCTGGCGCAGCCACATTGAAGCCAAAAGAACGCATTTAAAGCTCAAAGCCAACAGCCTCCACTGGCTTATCAATAGCCGCTCGCCCCTTAGCTTGGACTACGAGGTACTCCTATATAACACCGTCTTGAAACCAATCTGGATGTACGGCTCCCAGTTGTGGGGAAATGCCAGTAACAGCAGTGTGGATATAATGCAACGAACTTAATCAAAAATTCTCAGAACCATCACCGGGGCCCCGTGGTACGTTCGGAATGAAAACATTCACAGGGACCTTCACATACCACTCGTCAGAGAAGAGATAGCACAAATCAAAACAAAGTACTACAACAGGCTATCAGTACATCCAAATCATCTCGCGAGAGCCCTCACGCGAGTTTCCAGCAGTTCTCGTCTTCGCCGCAACGACCTCCCAATCCAGCACAGGCACAGCTTAGACACTGCTCGCTTGGTAATTCCAGATGATGTTTTAATCACCGCCTCTCAAAAGACCAGGAATTAATTCCATTATTCTCGCCATTTCATCGAAGGTAGGTTCTCGTTCTTTACTAGCACCACATCGTTCATGGCCAAGGCAGGACCTGAGGCACGCCAAGAATTGCAGATCCAACAGCTCTGTAAAAATGGTGCTTGGCGGTTTTAATAGCCGCTTCCCACAGACCACCGAAATCCGGAGATCGAGGAGGAATAAAATGCCATTCGATTGACTCCATAGAGCAAAACTCCAGCAGTGACCGTTGATGCTCATCGCTTAAAAATAGTCGGAGGAGCTCCTTTAGCTCGTTTTTGGCTCCCACAAAGTTGGTTGCGTTGTCAGACCAAATGTGTTGAGGACTTCGGCGGGTGCATATAAACCGCTTCAATGCCTGTAAAACAGAAATTGTGGACAGATCCCTTACAAGCTCCAGGTGGACGGCTTTGGTAGCAAAACAAATGGAAACATTTTACTGGAGCCCTTCCGGCTTATAATAAAAGGCCCATAAAAATCCACACCAGTGACTCCTGGGACTCCAAAAACCGGGGCAGCTAACTATTTGCTCCGGGAGATCAGCCATAATGTGCTCTAACAACCGAGGCTTAGTCCGGAAGCACCGGATGCATTTGTGATTTGCCTTCGTTACCGTTTTTCTCCCCCAATTGGCCAATATTGGGACCGAATGATTGAGAACAGCGCGCGTGGTCCCGTATGTAAATTCAGCTCATAAAAGTCAACAATTATAGCCAGCGTAACTGGATGGCTTCTAGGAAGTATAATTGGATGCTGACTATCAAAATCTAATGACGAATTTTTTAGCCGACCGTCTACGTGCAACAACCCAAATTTATCCAAGAAGGGAGAGGATAAGGCAAGGGCCCTGGATACCGCTATCTCCTTTCCATTTTGTAGAGCCTTATGTCCTCCTAAAAATGCACACGCTGCACTAGTCCGATATATCTAGTCGGATAGACAGGATATCTGCTCTGCTGGGTTCAAGGAAGTGGGAACATACCGCCACTCCATTTCTCTAGTTAGCTTCTGAATGGTCGAAACTCATTTAGCGACGAAAACATTAAACCGAGAGGGTTCTTCGCGAATCCAAGACAGAGCCACAGCAGAATCGCACCCGCAAAAATACCTTCCAAAGTCGAGCCAACAACCCGGCCCCCGATAACTCCAGCTTCGGTACAGTCTTTAAAGGATCAACTCGGGACTTCAAGCAGAGTAAATAGCTTGCAGATCTTGTGCCCTTGGATACGACATAGACGCAAGCCCCATACTCCTCTATGCTGACGTCACAGAATCGATGGATCTCCACCTCGGATTTCGATGTTAACGCCCATCTAGGGAATCCGGCGCGCTGCGCACTAACAAAGCTGCTACAAATCATATTGCAGTCGCAGTGAAGAGCTTGAGGAAGACTTTCATCCCAGGATAACTTCTCACAGAACAGCTTCTGAAGAAAGATCTTCGCCTTTGCAATTACAGGACCGACAAGGCATAAAAGGTCATAAAACCGAGTGGCTGAAGAAAGAACGATGCGCCTAGTGGGCTTTAAGGGGCTTGAATCCCTTCAAACGATAAAGCAAGTGATCAGTTGCAGGATCCCAGGCAACACCCAGAGTATTTGTGAAATTGCTACCATAATCGAACCTTAGGAAAGACTCCCGATCTTCTTCAGGCACCTTATCGAGCACGTCAGCAACATTGGAGCACCACTTCCGAAATTGGCATAATCGTGGAACGTCTATATGTATGAAACTATGTGCGAGCGAATGCACTTGCGTTGTGAAACGTATGTTTATATGAAGTTTATGCGCAGGCAAATGCACTTGCGTTGTGGAACGTAAATATGTATGTGTGCTTGCGAATTCTTCATGTCATGCTTTGGATGCCGAATCAATTGAAGCCGAGCGGCCGAACGGGAGTCGACTTGCGACCAACAATGCCTCACTTATTAATTAATTATTTAAATTAAAAACTAGCTGCTTGACCCGACAGATACATCGTCTCCAGTATCCACTAGGCACGCTAATTCGACGTCGTTGATGATGACCTTCTTCATCCGTCTTTCGCTGCGCACAACTTGGACACCAGCAGCTGACGCAGGACAATTTCTAGACATGTGTCCCTCTTTGTTGCAACTGAAGCATTTTGTGGAAGCTTTGCAATCCTTGCGAAGATGATCAGCTGATCCACAATTAAAACAGTGGCTCTTTCGGTCGTTGAACTTGTGCTGTTTCTTCTGATTCGGCGTCCATTTTCCATGGTTTGTCTGGAACGGATTGAAGCTCTTTTCGTTGACGCGTTCAAATAAGTCACATTGCTCCTGCAGCTCTTTGAAAGACTTGCAATTGTAAAGGGGGTATTTAAAGTCACTTCTCAAGTTCAGGCCGTCTACTATGTAGCGGATTACAGAACTTGCATCTATGCTGCCAAGTTCTGCAATCTTTGTCATATGTAGAAGATATTCGTGAAACGATTCCTGCTTGCGTTTCTTGCGATCACAAAGCTGCTCATAAAGATCCGCACTGCACACGTACATACATCTGCCCTAAGTTGAAATCGTAAGCTTCAGCATTCAGCTCGAAATTGTTAAACCAATTCATGACCGGCATGGATTCTCCGACAAACTCCAGAATTATTTTCGCCAAATTTTCCTTTATAACTGAGCGACTGCTATTTCGTTCATCTGCTCCCATTTTTAATTTAATTCGTTCATCTGCTCCCATTTTTAATGCCATAAGCTGAACATGATCCTGCAGTGTTTTTGTGTTCTCGGCGATCGAACAGCTTGCAATTGCCTCACCTGTGACATTTGTTCCTCCACTCGATTTCACGCGATTCTGTACGTTGCTTTGTGTTTTAGTCGCATTTTTTCCTCCACTTGCTTCGACAAGACTCTGCACGTAGCTCTTTTTCTCACTCATATTTTTTTCTCCACTTTCTTCGACGTTTCTTTCCGGCTTACTCATTTTCCGATTTTTCTCTGCTGCGCCAACTAACCTTGTGGTAGTATGGCTGTTTCCCTTTTGCAATCGGTATTCTAGAAGCCTCCTGGTGTCTGGCCTTTTTACTCATTTGCTATCATTCCTTTTTGTAATCCAACTTCTTCACTTTTTAAGACTTTTCGGGACGGCGCCACTTTGTAACTCTTCGGGACGGCGTTCCTTTGTAATTTTCAAGTTAAGAAGAGCCACCAAATGTGAGGAGAGTTGTTAACTCTACTCAGTTTTATTATATATAGTTATAGTATTTGTTATGTGTATTGAATATTGCAAGTTCTGGTTTCTTATATTTTTAAAACTAGGTTCTTCTTGTCTGCTGCTGCTTTTCGTCGTCCTTTTCTGCTTATACTCTTCTCCTCTACTTCTGTTTTGCCAGTTGCCATCCTGCTGACATTTATACTGCTGCCATACCAGCTGATATTTATATTGCTGCCAACTGCTGATTTTCATACTGTTGCCACACTGCTGATTTTCATACTGCTGCCATACTGGTGAGTTTTTTATACTTCTACTTTCCTACTGGTATACTGCTGCTGTTGTACACATATTTCACTGTCATACATACATAACTTTATTAATAGTGA